GTCCAAGCGGCGTAAATGAGTGGCGCTGCGGGGCATCCCTGGCGGAGACCTCGATGCATGCGCGTGCTCCCTGTTACGCCGCCATGTCTGATGTCACAAACTGTTTGCCGGTGAACCTCGACCAGAAGCCAGGAAATCTCATCAGGCACGTTACACTCTCTAAGGCTGGCGTACATTTCAGGATAAGTCAGTGAGTCAAAAGCTTTGGCCAAATCCAGACTTATCATTAGCCCTCCGCATAGCATTGTGTTGGCCATGCCAGTGAACTTGGAAGTTAAGTCCGATTTGACCTGAGCCACGGACTCACGTACATCCCGACAGTGCCGAGCTCCTCGGAGAAGTGCATCCTGCGTGCTGGCGTTGGTCCTATAAGCAAACTGAGGGATCTCGAAGAAGCCGTCATTGACATAGGGTCGGATGAGGTTCTTGAGAACAATCATGAAGGCTTTAGTATCCGCACCCATAATGCCGATGCTTCTGAGGTTCTTCGGCACGCTTGGTGTTTTGGACGGTTTGGGAAGCCAGGCTAATTGCACCCTAGCCCATTCAGTCGGTATCCATGGAGCAGATGAGCACAAGTGCTTGCGTGTTAAAACTGGCGACGCCCTTCACTGACTTCCACGTAGACATAGACGCTTCACCAAACGGCACTGCCTTCCCTGCCCTTATCTCTCTAATTGCTGCTTCCCATCTGTCGTCCGAAAGAAATTCTTGGGGCAATGGTAGCAGTCTGGCCTCGGGGAAACCAGGTCCACTGAAGAGCTGGCGCGCGTACTGCACGAGCACATCACACTCTTCGGCTGCACTCAGAATTTTCCCCTCCTGACCCCTTAGTTTAACCTTCTGCAAGGATTTACCAGGGCACAGCAGTTTCAAAACTCCAAAAAGCTCCTTGGAGTTCCCGGCCTTGGCCGCGCTTTCCGCCTGATCCAGCATCTGCAGAGTTCTGGCGCGCTTGTCCCGCCGCAGCTGCTTCTGAAGTTCTCGATGCGCTCGGTTATAGGCGCTCTGCA